TAACCAAGACTGTTACCCAGAGGGAGAGATATTGGTCGTTACCATTGAAAAATGCCAAAAATAATAGAGGTTGTCACATATTATGCAAATGGGAAAATTTGTATAATTATTGCATTTTTATAAGTGTATTATAATAGCTCCATTTTTGTTCCACTTACAGCTTTCAATTATCAAAACTGTGGAAGTTATTGTACTTTGAAATGATTAACATCAACTCTTTCTCAAGAAGTGCCAAAATTAATGTACCTAGATATTCAAAATCATACATGCTCATGAATAACCAAGACTGTTACCCAGAGGGAGAGATATTGGTCGTTACCATTGAAAAATGCCAAACATAATAGAGGTTGTCACATATTATGCAAATGGGAAAATTTGTATAATTATTGCATTTTTATAAGTGTATTATAATAGCTCCATTTTTGTTCCACTTACAGCTTTCAATTATCAAAACTGTGGAAGTTATTGTACTTTGAAATGATTAACATCAACTCTTTCTCAAGAAGTGCCACGCCCCTTTTCAGTAACATAATCATGTGAAGTGTTATAACTTAGTGTCTGACAATGTTTTTCCAAAACTTTCAATTGCAAATATGTTCAAAATTAATGTACCTATATATTCAAATTCATTTATGTTCATGAATGACTAAGACTGGTCACTCAGGCAGCAAGGTATTGTGCGATACTGTTGTAAAGAGGCAAAAATTACGATTAATGATGTCACATTTTATGCAAATGAGACTATTTGCATAATTATTACATCTTATAATATGGGATACTATAATAGCTTCATTTTGGTACCACTTATAGCTTTCAACTCTCAAAACTGTGGAAGTTATTATGCTTTAAGATAATTAAAATCAATTCTTTCACAAGAAGTGCCACGCCTCTTTTCAGTAACATTATCATGTGTCTGACAATGTTTTTCCAAAAGTTTCGAATTTGTTTTTGCAAATATGTTCAAAATTAATGTACCTATATATTTGAATTCATTTATGTGAATGAATGACTAAGACTGATCACTCAGGCAGAAAGGTATAATGCGATACCGTTGTAAAGAGGCAAGAATTGATTGATTGATTGATGATGTCACATTTTATGCAAATGAGACAATTTGCATAATTATTGCATCTGATAATAAAGGATACTATAATAGCTTCATTTTGGTACCACTTACAGCTTTCAAATCTCAAAACTCTGAAAGTTATTGTACTTTGAGATAATTAACATCAACTCTTTCAAAAATCCAAGATGGCCGACAAGATGGCCGCCAATAGATACCATGGGACAATATTTCATTCTGGGAACATGCAAAAATCTTCAGTATGGACCTTTAAGATTACAAAAATGTACATTAAAAAAATACATCTTTCGGGTGCATGGGAACCCCTCCTTCCTACCCGTCTATACTGACAACCTACACACTGAAATGTTAGCAAATTCGTTATTAAACACCATCACACAATAAATCCAAAATCCAAACTTCAGGGCATTTTATGACCATATATGGTCACTGTGGGGACGGTGGTTACCTGTTAAGAGCATTAAACATTTCAACACAAACTAGGACTGAGAGGGCCATTGTCATGGGATGAACGTCCTCAAAGACGTCACAGGATATTCCTGGGAACATTCTAGGTTCGGCTGGGCACTGCATAGCGTGGGTCTGTTGATATAATGTTAACATGCTCTCATGGTGTGATATAACTCAAGGTGAAGGTCAAGATTGCCAGGGTTCAAGTTCACAAGACTTAGCGGAAGGATTTCATAATTTTTTTAATTTTCTCATTCATATCATTTGGCATTTATTATCCAAAAAGAAATTTAACATTATATAATTATTAAATAGGCCAATTTCCCATAATGCAACCTATTTAGCAGATGAGATTTCCCATAATGCATTTCTAATTCAGCAGATGGATGAGAAAAACAAAATTATGATATTCTTAGCAAAGCTTGACTGACAATGGCTAAATATAGGCATTGTGGGAGACTAAATTCCAAGGAAGTGAAGGATCAGGTTTCGACTGACGGTCTATGGATTTTGAATAGGAAAACATCTATAGCTATAAATGAAATGATGTTATGGTTAATATTGGTGTCAAGAGACGATTAATGACTTTATAGTATTATTCATTTTCCGAAAATTGGGAAATCCAGATACATGTTTAAGAACTAAGACAATTATTTCATTCAGGAGTTGCAGATCTATCTAAAATAGAAAATGATAACTCAGGTTTGGTTAATTTTGGAAATTTGAATTATTTTTCTGCATTGCTCTAAGTCTAATGACTAAAGTAAGCACTATAAGCAAATAATTCAAGTTTTCAAAAGAAATGTGGTAAACATTGATGATTGTCGGTGCTTAGCTCTAGGTTAAACATAGAGAGGTACAAGTAGTTTATATCCTGCTTCCCGTTACCAAGGGTACCACCACATTTATACAAATGCAGTGCAGTGCATGTAGTGTATTCTGTAACTAGACGAAGATATGTTAGATTTCGGGACAGGGGTTCCAGGGAATGAAAATGGCTGAGAAATATTATTCATAATTGCAGTGGAATCAGGAAAAAGCTGATGCTTAAATAAAAGGAAAAAGGAATGGTACACGAAGCTTGTATGGCATTCATCGAGAAGATAAAAGCAATGATTCATTAAAACAAGGAATTCAAAACAGAATCAAGAGAGATAAAAATTAGAACAAGCAAACTGGAAGAAAAAGTTTCTAGATTCTACCGGTAGAGAAGTTTCTAGATTCTACTATGGCATCCAGGTATTATGATTTCAAAAGTAAGGGTTTCTAGAAGATAAATATTGGTTGGATTAATTAGTTAAAACTGGGAAGAATCCATATTGCCGCTCCTGTGTTTGTTACTTCCTGTAAATCCATTTAGGTTTATTGTACTCCATTGTACAAACCAGAATGAATGTAAACAGGGTTTAAGTCTTAAAAAGAGAATTGGCCAGTTGACCTTGAGGGACCTCAAAGTGAGAGGTCATAGGTCATAGGGTCAAGGTTACCTGTTGAATGCATTAAGCATCTCGACCATGACAAGCACTGAGAGTGCCATTGTCTTAGGGTGGTTATCATCAAAGATGCTACAAGAAATGCCAGAGTACATTCTTGGCTCAGCTGGGCACTGCATGGAATGCGTCTACAAGATAAATATCACACATAATGCAACATTTTCAAATACACAGATTATCATTTTCCCATAATGCATCACACTGTTGTCCTAATTTTCCCATAATGCAACACATATGTAGCAGACGGTTGATACCCCACGTAATGAGACAGTTCTGTAAGAAATTTAGAGAGTCAATAACTTTGCTGCAAGCTTGGAGGGCGCATATTTCATAAATATACAACATATATCCTATCATAAGATTTTAACCACATTCGGTCTAAAATATTTCTTCTTCGGGTTAAAATGTGAGATGGATATTCATGGTAAAAATAATCATGCATATATGACAATCAAATATAATGGCTGTAATAAAAAATATATATGAATAAATCAATATATGAAACCATATAAAAATATTACAGTACGTGTAGTTTTAAGGATCATATAAAGTATGGAACTTTAATTGAGTATTAACTAATTAATAGATTTACTTCAGTATTTTCATTTTTTTTATTAAATAATTCTTTTAACTTTATTCAATTAAAAAGCGAATGAAAGATATAAATAGATACTAAAATGTTAAATGGATAGAAAGCTTCCAAAAGATTTCATACTGGTTAGAATGATATATGAAAGGCTTTGGATACAGGATTTATCCTGAGGGATATACATGTATTTATATCTCCCAAAAAGATGAATCCTGTATCAGCAGCCTATCATACACAACTGATGTATCTTATACTTCTCTGACATATGAAATTTTTTGGTGAGTTTGAATTTAAGAAAGATTTGTTACCAGCTGATAGTAGTTGAGACGTGGGCCACCCTCGTACATCATGAACCACCAGGCGGCGCTACCGACAGTAGCAGCTCCGACGTACACTATAACACCATATAAGGAGTTAGAAAGAACTCTATAGAGTATCACTATGAGTTTGAGGTTTCGTAATGTGAGAAATTTGATTATGAGTTAGAAAAAAGCAGTTTCATCGAAGATCTGTTATTTTCCTAAGTAATATAAAGAAAGAGGATTAGTGATTAAAAAAGCAGCAATTACAGTAAAAGAATATCACTAGAACTTCTCAGTTTCTAGCTGGTTAATGTTTTATTGTATATGTATATACATGTACTTGTAGAATGAGCTATAAGGATAGAAATGAGAAAATAAAGATATTTTTCATATTAGATGAAGTATGCATATTGGTCAATATTAGATTGAGCTGCCAGAGCTGAAAATAGTCCCAAGAATTTATAAGATCTAGTTTTTGGACGTAAAATTAACAATTTTTTGCCCTTAGAGAGCTGCTTGCAACAAGACTTCTGGATGAAAGATTTTGGAACATAAACTTCATGCTGAAGTCCTGAAAAAATATTTAACTCTGACATCCTTGATCTAATATTGCTCATGTGCATATTATAATATAGGTTTCCCATAATGCACCAGTAACGTCTGCTCAATGTTGTTGTTTGGTTAGCTGAAGAGAATAAATGGCATTATACCAAGAAGATTGAGAAAGTTAGGTCGGGATGCAGTGCAAATTTGGAAATCTATCCAATTTGTTACTTCCTGCACTTCACAACTGAACTTCTACAGTGAGACAAGATGAAACTAATTAGAATAAGAGATATAAAATATGGCACGTGTACAGAATTTTCCTGCTCCTCACAATTTAAAACTAAAAATTAATAAAAAATAAAAAGGAAAGGGATTTTGTATCATCAACAATTTTCAATATGTTTCTAAAATTGTCAAAGTTAAGATCGCTGCAGTCTTATGAGAAATCATGAGTAGCAAATATGTAAATGTGCCAAATTTTATTGGTAGTCATAGAGAAATCTTTCATGAGACTGGTTGGAAGTTGCTATGGTTACCAATTGCCAGTAGGTGAGTCCAGGGCCATTTGGTGCGTACATGTACCACCAGGCGGCGCTACCAGTTGTTGCGGCTCCAACATAAACTAAAAATTAGTCAATTCAGATCTTAACATTTGCAGGCCGCCAACAAGGATAATAACAATCATCTCAGAATAAAGGCTAGGTCTATCAAATATAAAATATACATGCTTTAAAATGATGTATAACAGCATGCACAACATGCTTCAATGGTTTATATTGAAAAGAAAATGCAAATTATCATTATCAATACTTATAAATAAATAATTTCAAACATTGCTGCTGCATTACATTACTGAACACTTACTGGTATTCACTTCTCTTCATCAAGAGACATTATATTAATGTCTAATAATACTTAATATTTTACAACCCCCAGTCCCCTTATAAAGCCTTACCTCCAATTGCCATATATCTGAAGAACAACCATCCACTGATAAGTGGCTCCTTGGGGTTCCTTGGTGGTTTCTGCATGATGTCAAGATCTGGGCCGTTGAAGCCAAGGGCGGTGGCGGGGAAACCGTCTGTTACAAGGTTGACCCATAGGAGCTGGACGGGGATCAGGGCTTCGGGCATACCAAGGGCAGCCGTCAAGAAAATACTGCAAAGTTAACAGGAAATATATCTCTTCGATGCAAAATCAGGAAAATTATATTAACTGGGCAGTTGAGAGAGTACCAAAGAAAAAAGATCATGGAACATGTAGTTACATTAATTGCTGAGAAATAATGAAAATGAACATTAAGACTCAATAAGGAACGATATAATAATTTTTGCAACATTTTTTTGTCTTTCTTCCAATCCCAATCAAATAACATCTATCAATATACAAACAGGCCAATTTAAAATATAATGTTCACCAATGTAACACCAAGGACAATTCATTTTTAGTTAATATGACCTGTTTACGAAAACACAGCTCACCAGACAACCTCTCCAATGTTGGATGAAATGAGGTAGCGGATGAACTGTTTCATGTTATTGTAGATGGCTCTGCCCTCCTCTACGGCAGACACAATTGTTGCGAAGTTGTCGTCAGCGAGCACCATCTCAGAGGCAGATTTTGCGACGGCAGTTCCAGAGCCCATAGCAATACCAATCTCAGCATTCTTCAAGGCAGGGGCGTCATTCACACCGTCACCAGTCTGGAATATAGATGGCACTGTTTTATTGCCGAATTGTCAGTTTGGTTTGATGCCTGAATTTCAAGCTAATTAGTAATTAACATATGATCTGACATATTTTTCAAAAAGAATTTAAAATTGAAGACTGGAAACAAAAAAGCATTTGAAAAATATACTATTAGGTTATTGGGCTCATGGGCTCCATTAATTTTCGGATTTTTATATTGTGTCTCATATCATTGAGATACAATTTTCCATTATAGAATTAAGTTAGGACAAAAATTCTTGTTTAGAAGATCTCTCACCATAGCAGAGATCTCTCCCTGTGCTCTCAGATGGTCTACAATCTTACTCTTGTGGGCAGGTTCTACACGAGCGAAGAGACGAGCACGGGTAACAACTTGTCTCTGTTCATCTTGACTAAGGTCATCAAACTCGCGACCAGTAAATGCAAGACCCTCAGTTGATTCACTCTCTCCGAAGATACCAATCCTGCGGCAGATAGCTTCAGCTGTGGCCTGTAAATCAAACATTGTGTTGAATTTCCCATAATGCATCAGGATAAGCAGACAATTACCATATTTGCCATACAACTGTCACAATTGGGAAACATGTATTTTTTATCCTATGATTAATTTAATGTACATGTACATGTATTTTATGAAACTTGTAGACTGTGATATATTATCATCATGACACACCACAAATAGTTTATTTACCTTGTTATCTCCAGTGATGACGATGACACGAATACCAGCAGCTCTACAGTCAATGATCGAGTCAATGACCTCCTTACGTGGAGGGTCCAACATTCCAACAATACCAACAAATGTCATGCCAGACTAGAAGGGAAACAAAACAAGATTCATTCACTTGGAGTTTTAATAATAAAAGCACTTTGGAGTCTAAAAGATACAGATTGTTCTGGTTTAATTACCTATTCAAAGGAGGTTGGGGAGAGGGGAACTATGAATTGTTATTTTCTTTTAAAACAATTTGGTTCCACCTCTGACTACCATCCAAATAGCAGCAATATGCCTAATTTCATATAAAACCATATAATAGTTGATATTTTTTTTACAACTACCTTATCACTAGAAATACATTAAATATTAATATGACTGAGGCAGCAACTCACCTCATAAGTGGAAAACTTGCGGGAATCTTCAAGATCCATGGATTCAACGGGGACAGGGTTGTCATTGGTTGCCAAAGCAAGGCATCTCAGGGTGTCACGTCCAGTACCGTAATATTTGACATGTTTCATGATCTCGGCCTTGACAGCAGATGTCATTGGGACTTTCTGGTTTCCTACTCGAGCGAAAGAGCACCTTTCAATTACACCCTCAGGAGCACCCTGAAACAACATAAGATTGACCAATAAGAGACTTTCAAATGACCAGTCAGCAGCCTTTTTGTAATGAGCTTATTGATCAGTTGATTAGGGTCTGATAGTCCTGCTTTTTACAAAGGGGGGTTTAAAATTATGTACCTTACAAAACCTTTTAGCACTGTCAGCAGTGATAGTTCATCAAAGTCTGCTTTTTACAATGCATAATAGAACATTGCTTACCTTACAAAACTATTTTTGCACTGCCAGCAGATACGTCTGCTTTTTACAATGCATTATGGGACATTGCTTACCTTACAAAACATTTTTGCGCTGCCAGCAGTGCGTGTTGGTTTGTTTGGTACACAGTAGCTGCTCATGGACTTCCTGTCTCTGGAGAACTCCAGGGTGAATTCCTTCTTCCACATATTGTTGATCACATTGTTACAGCATGTTCCTGCAAAAGTAGGAAAAATGTCACAGCGGTCTTGTTTTTAAGTGCAAAATAGAAAGGAAATCGGTGAAATTAGCAAGGAATAAAGTAAACAGGCATGTAGCTGAAACTCTAAATTGTATAGAAATGCAAGAAAGTCAGACACTTCATTCAAATTTTAGAGAGAAATGGAGGGAAATAAGCATGAGTATAATTCTCCGTACCCATTTCTTTTTTGTTAAGTCCAGCTTTTTCAGTGTTGTATACATTCATCTTTTCCACTAGCACAGTGAGGGCAGTTTCAGTGGCCTCTCCAACCTTCTCATAAGCTCCCTTAGCCTAAATAAAACAATCACTTATGTTATAAAACAATCACTCAAGTATATAAAAATCACTCAAGTACATATCACTTACAATCAATCAATGTTCATATGGTTTTTTAAGTCAATGTTATTAAATGCAATTATTTATTTATCAAGAATGACTATGTTGAGAGATTTTATGGATTATTAATGATATTATCAAGAAGTTTCAAATGCTAGAACAAATTGTGAGAAACATTTCATGTCCATTTTCTTCATAATTTAAAAACTCTAAATGGATTATTACAAATTTCTAAACAGGAAACATTATATGAATTAAAAGCTACCTATAATATAGAATCTTTGTTTTCTTAAAAATCTACCTAAATACATATTAGCAATAAAATTGAAACTTGAAAGGAAAGCAAAATATTTTATTGTACAAACAAAATATTTAATTACACTGCAATATATGTTTTGATTTTTCAAGTAACAAGTTTTGAAACACTCAGAAATATGATAATCCAAAATTATGCATATATTGCAGAATAATTTCAGAGTAAAACTATTTTGTTTTTAAGAAATAAGTTTAAAATCAATTTAAGAGAAACTAGATATGGTATAAGCATTAGAAAAACAATGTTAGAAGTAGGAAAACTATGATAGGATTAGAAAGACAGTGCTAGAAAAAGAAAGACTGTTTTGAGCATCCAAATTAAGCCAGCAAACTACCTACCTAAGCTCTCAGCTCACACTGACCTGTTTGCAATTTTTGCCATTTTGTTTTTTACTAAAGTCATCCTTAAATATCCTTATCAACATGCTTAAGGATTTCCACATTAAATAATCAAAAAATTATGAATCTCGAGGAGTCTACTACAATGTTTTTTTTCTAACAAACTACATCTATGTGACAGAATGTAAGGGTGCAATTTGATTGGTTAATGAGAGATTCTACGGTGGATTAAGACTAGACTGGAATGTAAATGCTCTCGAAAGACCGATTTCACTCAAAAAGTAGAAAAAACAGTAATACAATGTTTATTTTAAAGAAACTACATCTACGTGACAGAATGAAAGGGTGCAATTTGATTGGTTAATAATGAGATTCTACGGTGGATTATGACTAGATTGAAGTGTAAATGTTCTCGCAAGACCGAGTTCACTCAAGAAGTAGAAAAAAACAGTACTACTAAGAGAAAATGTATTTTGTTATGACGCTCATTTCTGATTACCGAAAAGTATTTCCGTTTTGATTAAATTCACCAGTGAGCATCAAAATTACATACAAGTTCTACCTTTGATACACTCTTTTTGATTACAACTCACGTCATTATAATCTACACTAGAATCGTTACACTGTGCACAGATGGTAGCGAGCTCGACTAGACCCTCGTATTCACCGGACTTTACTGAACGACCTCCTTTGAAACTGCAGGATGAAACATAGAGATACATACATATACATAAATAAATAAAACAAATAAGGCATGAAAGCAAAAGCATAGAGCCTTATCTATAGCCCACTACCTGGCAGCGATGTCATAATGTGACACCATTGTGATGTCATACTGTGACACCATTGTGATGTCAGTGCTGTATTATCGCTGTACTTACATCGTTGTAATCTAAACTTGAATCGTTACACAAACATGAGATAGTGGCCATTTCTTTAAGGCCCTCGAAGTCACACCCGTTCACCTTTTTGCCTCTTTGGAAACTATAAACAAGAAGTCATGCATCATGATGGGACTGAAGTTCCCCCTCTGGTCACATGATATTGATGTCACCAGAGAGGTTAGGACTCACTCCCATGAGGCATTTTGCTGCTGGGAATGCTGGTGATCTTCCTTTGGCTTGGGATTAAATGTGTATGGGTGTTAGAAGTTAAATGTCTGTTTTTGCCTTTTCCAGGATTTCTGTCATCATTTCAAGAGGACAAAAAACAGACAATTAAATTGCAATGGCTCAAAAACTTGTATGGACGAAAAGCTTGAACATGTCTGGGCAAAACCATGCATGTCGCTTACATCGTTATAATCAAGCCCCGAATCATTACACATCGTGCCAATCGTGGCCATCTCTATTAAAGCCTCAAAACTTCCGCTGTTTACTTTCTTTCCACCACTGAATCTGAAATATTACAAGTCTCTGCTCCAATATATGTGTATGGAAAATGGGGAATATTAGACTGAAAACAAGTTATGTGGAACATAAAATGAAAACATGGATATTTAAACAATGTACACAGGGCAAACAAATGGATGAATGGACTAAAAACATGGTATACGTATGCCACACATGAATACTACTGAAAACATGTCATATATTGAAACATAACATTAGACAATATGAGACAAGTAACAACTCAAGAAAAATGTTAAATTTGTGCTGAGTTGTGAGTTAGAACAGAAATTTTTTTTTTAAATTTAAATATTGAATAGAAAGTGTTTTTTATAAAGAATTAATAAAGAGAAAGTGATTTTATGAAAATCATACTAATCAAAAAAGTCTTCAAGTTAGATATCTGCAACTTTTGGAATAAAAAGGGGAAAATAAAATAGAGGACCTCTCTTTTTATTTTATTTGATATATAACACTGTCTTGACTGTGTATTCAGAATCATGCATTCTTCATACTCAAGAATCTCAATACCTACAAATTCTTATATCTTTAATGAATTTTTTATACCCCAAAATGTTGATACCCACAAATCCTGATAGCCGAGAATTCTAATACTGAAGAATGTAGATACCTTCCACTATTCAGTAATTAAAAAAAATAAAAAGTCCTCTTGTCATTATGTGTTTTATTGCCATAGCAACCACCACCAAGGGAAACAATGCATGCTGGGAAGGTTACTCTTGAATAAAGGAAGTGTAGGAATCCCATCATACCACAGCATACAATAACACCACCGCAAGGAGAGTGTGATATAGATCATGTGCTAAGCTATGAGAACCCCTAAAAAGCAATTTAGAATTATGCCTATATTTAAATGTAACATCTTATGATAAATTAGTTGATGATGTGTGTATATAAAAAACCACCCAAATTAATTAAAAGTTGGGAATAAGATATCTCAAGGAGATGCTATATAATAGGAAATATATGAGACAAAGTACCATTGATGATCAAACATATTTCTCTCTTAATAATGGTATAACATAAATTGTTATTTGGAGATACTTCTTGATCCTTGTAATGCTAAATTGAGAGATATTGTTGGACCTCAAAATATTAAGCCTTTCACCAAAAGTGACCTAAGATTAATTATGCAAGGAGTAACCTATATAATTAATTGCACCTAAAGTAAAAGTACCTAGGTGCAAGGGAAATACAAATAGATGGAGACTCAGTACAAAATACCCATAATGCAATATTATTTGCAGCAGACAACAAGGGTTCTCATATATTACCTCGATTCTGATGGATGGGATGCCAAGTACCTTTAATTACAGAAACAATCATGATAAACCCAGTTGTATCTTGGAATCAAACAATGGGAACATTGAAATTATGGGATATATTTTGAAGAGGAGCGGCGAGTTATTTACGATAGAAAATGGGTTATATTTTGGAAAGGAAAGGTGCAAGTTTTTCAAAGATTGTAAGAACTGTGGTATTAACCAGTCGTTAGAGCAAGCAATGCATGTGACTGAGTGTTTACTTGTATTTGTACATATATACAAAACGTAAATAAAATATATTGTACTGAAATTAGACAAGAATTCAACACAGTATATAATTATAACAAAACTGGAATGGTATTAGTTAATGCAATAGAGAAGTTTGCCTTTTTCAGAAATCAGAAAATCTGAAGACTTCTTTCTATTGCATCAAATGATGTCATGACGTCAAACTCAGGAGGGGAAATGTTACGAGGAGAGAAATAATAGAATATGAATGTAACAAGAACACAACACAACACAGCACTAGGGATGAACAATGGATGCATCTAAACAATCAACATAAGTTAAGGGATCCAGAAGTTGAATATCTGAAGATCAGTCAGTTCATTCCTGGTTGGTGTCAATCATCATAACATGCAGGTGCCAATCACTCCAAATATGGTGGATATGGGTGGAGCTAAAATATTATTAATAATATGGGGGTGTCTCTGAAATAAAAATGTCAATATGGGCAGTCAATCATTGGTGATTATGTTAATTATGAAAACAGGGAACATTCCTGATTTTTTCAGACAAGGATCAAACATTTCGTACAGAAGGAACTAATAGCAAACAACTTAACATGAGAGAACTAATATTTTATCTTATATTTCTTCAGTTACATTTAATTTAATTCCATCTTATGTCCCACCCCCATTGAATATGAAAATAAAATATTAGTTTCTCCCTTGTCAAAGCTCCCTCTGTTGGTGAATACATACACTTCTCCATCGGGAGCATAAGTTGATCCAGTTATCTCGAACTGGTGAGTTGTGATTTGTTTATCTTCAATTTTATCAAAAACGAACATCTAAAATGGTAACATATACAATATTTTACATATGATTTCTTACAAAATTTTAAGGCTAGATGTGATATACCAAATCTTGACATTTCCATTGCTTTAAGGTGAGCAAGGCACAACACCTGTTTGTCCATTTTCATATGCAGGTTTATATCAGATTTGGTATATCAACCAATCAAACACACAGACTCAAGAAAACATCTCAAATTAGGTGACTGGCCAATGTAAACGGATCATGGTCACCTTAAATGGAAACATTTCTGGAGTCTGTGTGCAAGACTGTCACATCTTCTGACAGTAATAATAACTGATGTGTTAAGCCCCTTTATCAAGAACATATACCATATTTCCATCTCTTTTAAGAATCTATGTTATGCAATGGACACCTTTATGTGACAATATAGTTCAAAGGAACCTAGCTTGAATTCTATTTATCGAAAAACATTAAAAAAATTCACACAATTGTTGTCAATACAGTGACCATGATAATGCCTGAGTAAGACAACAATTGACTTTGAAAAAAGTTGATGATTGTTTTATGAGAAGTTCACTGAAATAATGGACCTCCGTACATGTTCTTCAATAATGGGGCTTAATCACTCAGTTAGACACAGGAGTATATAAGTAAGACTTACACTTCACCCTCTGGGGCATATGTGGTGCCAGTGATTTCAAACTGATGAGTTTTGATTTCGGCATCAGTGATTTTGTCAAAAATAAACATCTACAATTCCAGAACATACATGTCATATTTTGAGTTAACTTTTCGTAGTAGAATCACATCTTAATATTATTTTGATCTTGTGATGTTAAATTTTTCAAAGAACATGTTTTATTTAAATGTCTACAGTAGCATCCGTAACAAAATTACATTTATGTTGAACACTGAAGAAAACTTGTGTTTGATCAAAATTTGGTTTCTATTAATTGAATTCATTCTGTGTTATTCCATTGTCGTTAATGTTATTAAAACTTCTTTGCCAAAGGCATGTTCAATATAGACAGTTTTTACAGAAATTTATCAAACAGTTTCTTTTCAGCATTTCCTGTTTGGAATTTAGACCTACCCTGCATACTGACATCTGATTGGTTGTAAGTGTTCCTGTTTTATCTGAGCAAATGACTGAGGTGCAACCTAGAGTTTCTACGGATGGTAGGGACCTGACAATGGCATTTTTCTTGGCCATACGACGTGTACCAAGAGCAAGACATGTAGTGATGACAGCGGGGAGACCCTCTGGGATAGCGGCTACAGCGAGGGCAACAGCAATTTTGAAATAGTAGACGGCACCCTGGAATAGGTAAAAACACCAAATTACACAATGGCAGAATAAGCATATCTTATACTGCATTGCTTTTGAACCGTAAGTCCATTACTTGCACAATTTTTAAATCAACAGGAATTCCCACATACTGTATACTCTATTATAAATTCATCAAATCATTTGGAAAACATTACAGAAATCTCAACCATGCGTCCACTTACTCTGATCCATGAACCACCATGAGCGGGATCGTTGAAGTGACCAATGTTGATTGCCCACACGGCAACACACACAATGGAGATGACCTTGGAGAGTTGCTCACCGAACTCATCAAGTTTCTGTTGGAGTGGAGTCTTCTCTGTCTCTGTGTCCATCATCTCGTTACGGATCTTTCCTGGAAAATATAAAAGGAAAGAACATAAGAAAAATGCAAAGAAATAAATATATATAATATATATAATAAATAACATGCAAAATGTTACCACCAGTCATTTTTTAGACACAAAAGGCAGAACACCAACCACCAATACAGTCACAAAGGTGTCCCATAATGCAATACAGAAGCAGACGACACAGGAGTATACCACAAAGGTTAAGCAGTCTCTGAGTGATTGATGATACCAAGATTATTAATAGAGATGTCAAGTTACAAAAAGCAAATGTATTTATTTAATATCTAACTGAACTTGAACTGAACTGTAAAATACATTTGTCTCTATCATAGCTTACAGTGAAAGTTTTGTTTTACTTGATCAGCCAAGGTTAATCCGCTTCTTGAAACAAACACCAAAATCAATTATTTGTTCAAATAATTCTGCTGATTGATCTCTGAAGGATCAGTAATTAATCAAGGCAGTATAAATATTATGGTTAGAGAAGATCTGAAATTTATCCCGGATAGGGAAAATGAAAATGAATCGAATCTCTGATCAGGATTGATGAAGGATAATCAATACAAAGTGAAATCTTGCAATTTTATGGTTTGAGCATCAAATAGATTTGAAGTTGAACCAGAGGTTGAGAAAACAACTTTCAGCGAAATCAACAAGAAGCGAAGTAGCAGACATGTTGTTAGGATCACTCCAAGCCCTTGGGATCCCCTTGGGAGGAGGAGGGGGGATCTTGATGAATCGATACAAGACTAGCATGTAGTTAACACTTTAAATTGAATCAAAAACCAGAAGATCATACTTCCAATACATGTGTATCTTACTTTGAAATATCATATTCCGTTTGAGAGTTCATAATGAATTGATTATCACTTCAAACCATCTGCAGAAAGTTAGATAGTATGTTAGAAAGGGCAGGAGAGGTTATTACCTGTGAGTGGTCAATCTGAGTATGTTTTACACAATTTTGATTGCAGGATTAGGAGCTACTGAGAAATATTTCTTCAATATGAAAATGATATTGTAACACACAATAAAGAGATCCATAACAGATGAAGCAATCTTCAAAACTAACATTAAACCAAGTTCATCCAAAAAGTTGTTCTTGGAAAATATTAATTCGCTCAGTGATAACTTGAATGACCTGAATGGGATAGAGTTACCCTCATCAACTTAGGGCTAATAGCTGTTTCGGACATTGAACCCACTACTCTTACCAAAAAGTTACTCAGGTTACTTTACTGCCTTTTCTAGATACAAATTCTCAATAAACCAGCTGATTTTCGGACATTTCTGGATAATTTAGAGTGTTAACTACATGTCTGTTTACTTAAATCCTTGCTTATTCCACTCTTTTTTACTTTTTTCTACTCTAAAAAATGATATGAAGATTGATTTCTTAAGGGGCCTTCATATCAAGAATCAATACAGCCAATAAAGCAGTGTTATCTTTTGGGTGTTGAACTCATGGCCAATATTAATATGGGCCAAAAATGTCAGAATCAGGTAATTAATTCAAAGTTTCTGCCTGAAATTTTGGCACTTCTATGAAATTTAGAATATGGACTAGCCATCTGTTTATTTTATGCATCACTAACTCTACCAATTCTTCGATTTATTCTGCATTCTAAAATCACGATTTTTTATGAAGTATTTAAGAGTAGCAAGGCATATTTTTCAATCATCAAGATCCAGTTCCCAAAACTTCACCTTGGGAAGGTGAAGATGGATTTTACCTGGACCAACTGTATCTTTCATTCCTGCCACTGGTGTGGAGCCCAGTAGGCAAGAAAATAAGTTAGAACACCAATAATAAACCAGATCAGAAAAGTAAGGGCACAAGGCAAAAATGTAACAATACACAAAAGAAATATGGAAAATCAGATATCAAAAATGTTTAAAATCAGAAAATTCCTGAAATAGACTATATCATATTCAAAAGAGATTCAGTAAAGGACTCATTTGATAGGCCTGACAGCGTGTGATCTATCATTTAGAGATGAACTTCCTTTTTACCCATCCTTTATTCATGCCTTCCAAACCACATGCTGATGGGGGAGGGAAGTGAAGGTGAGCAGAGCAGTTTCAGTATTACATATTGAGGTAAATTTACCTCTATTTTGGTCAAAATCTAGTATATCTGTGGAAGTATATATCTGGTAAGTAACTCAGCCTCTAAAACTCTCCCAATAGGCTCCTTACCAGTGGAAGATAGCCAATTCCTACACCTACCTTACAAATTACACAATAATTTCCACTAATCTTAAGCAAACCATGAAACACAGAGGACCAAACATGAAATAAACGAAATCAGGAAAACACAAGTGCTTCACACTTTGACTTTTGTGAATATAAATCAACTCAATTTTTATCGATTTATATTGGTGTATAATGAGATTTTAAGCCTAGACAAACGTGAAGTTTTCTCAAGATGTTGTTGGTTTAGGTTACATGCATGCTATATATGGTTGCCAATCCATATCATATCTATATCTATTCAACCAAAAGCGCATAAACTACAAAAATGTCCAGATTATATTCTGTTTAATTAAATTTACATCTGCAATGGTTTATAGACCCAGGTGTCAATTTCATTTTCAAAGAAAATAATTTCTCATAAAAGATAATATAAATGAAGAAGTAAAATATCAAATATTAATTTTTCAACTATAAAATCAGGAAATTCAGCAGTTGAAATTATTTGATATCAAAAGCAGTAAAGGTGCTACATATGGCAAACTAAAAGCTCTACCTGTATCTACCTGGGTCATAATGATATTTTTTACATCTGTTACTTTGACATGGCAAGGGCAATACTTCATCTGGTCTAAATGCCTTCAAATTCAATAGGTCACTCACATAGAAAAAAAGATCATAGCGTCATGTTTTAAATTGCATAATGCAGGAAAAATTGGGGAATCAACAAGGAATAAGGTAGATACGTGTAAACTTAACACTCTAAATTATAGAGAAATGCAAAAATATCAAGTAGATTATTCAAATTTTGGGGAGAAATTGATTGAAATAATGAACTGAAAAATTAGCAGACGGACATTTGAAAGTATGGAATCTGCCAAACTGCTCCAGCCATATGATGGATAGAAACAGAGTAAAAATGAAAATATTTGCTGTAGAAATGCGTGTAGAATATGTTCCAAAGCATAACACAGAATGAATACTGAATTCTGAAAACTGTACATATGCCATTGAAGGACTTACAGGCCAGAAATAGCACAAAAGCAACAGATAGAACTATACCTCAATACCCTTGCAAAAAAATATAACTTAAACCATCTTTATTCATGGAGTATTTTAAGAAGTCTCAAAATAAAGGACCACCCTTATAAAAAACCTTATGTGACAAACACTCTCAGAAATACAATCCACAAAAAGTTTCACAAAATTCTAAATCACAAGTATTTTAGAGGAAATGAAAGATAAGGGAGGAATGATACTGAAGGGTAAAAGATCTTCAGGAAAGTCTTTAAGGATACCTCTTCAGAACTTTACTTCCAGAAACAAGTTTTGAGAAAAGATATAATTGTGAATCATTTCCTTTCCTATTGAGTACTGTACTCGGTGATCACCTCTCATGATTTGAAAAAAGTCTCTCCTTATCTACTCATTCTTTTTGTTCATTTACAGTGAAATCTGTATATCCGAATACCTCTCAAAACCGAACACCTCTCAATGTGAAAACTTTTTCTCGGTCCCATATTTGTTAACTGTCTAAGATATTTAAAAAGTATGAATGCCTGATAATTAATCCGAACACTTTTGACCTCAGTGGTATTCAGATTACAAAGGTTTTATTGTATTTCAGAAGGAATTGAAATTTTCACTACTGAAAAATACAGATGACTGTTTACCATTGGAAAGCTTAAGATATCCTTTTGAATGTTTATATCGAAGTGATGTATTTTTGAAGTTCGCATCATCCAAAAGCTGTCACAGTATGTAAAGAAATGAATTAGTTTATCAAAGAGCCCCTGTTACAGATATGACTTGGAATTAATCTCTCCCATTTACACTGGCAAGTTTAGGTAAATCAGTACATTTTGCATGGCATAGCTTTGATACCACCTGGTTGGGCTCCGAAGCCAATTATTTCTCTCATAGGTCATGCCTATTTCATTCAATTTCTCTCTAAAATTTGAATAAAGTGTTAAATTTTCTTGCATTTCTGTACAATTTAGAGTGTCAACTACATGCCCATTAGATATATTTCTTGCTAATTCCACTCTTTTTCTCTGTATGTTGCGTTTCAAAGGATGACCCTCAACATTTTATTCTTTAGGGTACTGGGTGTTGTGTAACCTAATTAGAGGTGTTTAGAATGGATCTATGTATTCTCAATAGTATAACCCCTCTGCCTCGTAACCAATGCAAGGAATTTTTTGGGAAGCCAGTCAGCCTAGGAGTCTGTTGAGGGTGGGGAGGGATAGGTGGGGGAGGGGACATATGTCATGAAAAACAGTTTTTTTCTCTGACTTAAATGCCAACATGAATGTCTTTCAAAGAATATCCAGAAGACAACCTAAAACTTGTCTTGCATCAAACATGAACAATAGAGGTAGGGCAGACACCACTTAGAGTAAAAGTGAATCAAAGAAGGCTACCTAAAAATAAGTTTTCCATTTAGCCCTTAAGCTCCCTCTATCTCATGCTATAACCTGAACCAAATAGGAAAATAGAGCAGAGATATAGGGCAAATACTATGCTAGGTAAAACTGAACTTTAACATTTTTCCTGCAGCAAGGTGTATGGATAGCTTATTGACGCCGCTGTTTTTCACGAGATGTAAATGTTTCCATCATCGGATCTTGGAGAGTTGGCATTATTTAGAACGTTAACACATTATATAAACAGTGGTGTTTTCTAATTGCAAATTGGACATGATTTCAAATGCAAAAATAGAAGAAAAGAGTGGAATCAGGAAGGAATAAAGTAAACAGACATGTAGTTAACACTCTAAATTGTAGAAAAATGCTGGAAAATTAGGCAGTTCTTTCAAATTTTAGAGAGAAAAAGTATAAAAAAGATATGACCACCCTGAATAATATTCTAATGCACATATGAATCTCGATTTTTTTCCTTTGAACTGCCTAATAATGAGCCAAAAAAGCATTTTATTCAAATGAATGTTTATTTTTGAGATAATTCTTCAATTAATTTCTGGAGTAGATGATTTAATTTTGGGATTTTCATGCAGGCCTACATATCGACGTAACATATAAACGCAGTCATACAACATCCTGTTCTATTATAATCAGGTGATTCTACTGAGGTTACTTATTGTAATATAAACTCCACAACTACTGATATATTATGAACTGCCGGTATATTATGTACTATCAAATAAGAAAAACAAGAGAAGATTCAGAAACAACAGATATAATATAATCAAAAGCCTGTTGGTATAGTTGCCAATGACATAAAAATGGCATTAAATAAATTGGAATCTAATTATGTGACCCATTCCCCTAATTAATTCTGTCAGTTTTCCACTAATTCACTAATTATTTCAGAGGGTAATTTACACAAGTTCAATTGGGAAAATCATGGCAGGCATGTTTTGGAATGCAATTTCAGCTTAATTTTTTTTTGAGTTACATGTCAGAATTTAGAATTGTATTGAGTCCCATAAAATTTTGTAATTGATTTTACAGGGGTCAATTTATAGAATGATGAGTACAGAAAACTCTGCAAAGGGATCACATCTCTCCATCATAGTATTTCTTTCATCCAAAATATTCAGTGGCTGTATCTCATTGACTGTTGTTAGCAATTACTAAAAATAAAATGTTCATTTTTTGTAAGGTATATGCACCTTGAAAAAACTCCAGGTAAAAGGATCAAATTAATTAAACCTTGATCGGATCAGGTTTATAACATCCCTTATAGGGATAGAGGATCAGGTTGTGTGGATCAGCTGGTCTGATCAAATAGGGATCAACAGGATCTAGTTTACTTAGACAATAATTGACAACAGATTTTTTTTATTCCAAAATGAAAGGACTGTGTTCAGTTCTTTAGAAGTTTACAGTTAACTATTAATAGGCCAGAAACAACGCAAAAACTCTATCAACAAGAGCCTAATCTTTGGTATGAAAATCAGATGATTGAACCACCCTAATGGGGCACTCTGATCAAGTTTTTAAGAAGCAGTCTTAACTCTCAATACATATGAATACTGATTCTAGCTCCCTTGGTGCACTCTACAATATTCCAGTTAATATGTTCCATCAAATTGCATTCCATAAAAAGATTGAAAATTCCTCAAAAGATGTGACCTTTGGGAAAGAAGACTGCGTACCTATCTACTTGGGGTACCTAGCCTTACTTGATGTCTCTACTGTTTGAACACATCCGTAGCATAGCTCAGTTTGAAGGTACTTGCATGTGAACTTTTTCAGATTTTCAAATTATACATATACAAAGAATAAATAAATACAATGATTGCAAGGAGAGGTATGTACTTTATTGATATTTGGCAGAAATGGTAAACAAGAAATGCGAGGCAAATAAAGAAATAACTGAGAATTGAACAAAATGTGGAATATGAATCAGAGAGAAATGAGAGGCAAAGGAGAGGCATGGTCGATGCTATCGGGTCTCAATAGGTTACAGAAAATCCTTTTCTTTATCATGCCAAGTCATCTATTTGGAAAAATCACCTTGTGAAGTACTTATGCCTATTAGTGTTTACATCTGTATAACATATTTTTCTACATAACTGCATCAAAGTACATCAAGCCCTCATGAATTTATTGTCTCATGGTGGAACATTTTCACCTTACTAGACCCCCGCCCTCTTTGGAAACTGTACATGTACATGGTACCCCAGTGAGAGGTACAAGAAATACAAGCAGATATATCTGATATCTGAAACAGCTGAGTGTATTAATGATGCTAGATCTACTAATAGTCAGTGATGCATCCAAAATAGATGATATTACCTAAGTTTAAAATCCACTTCTGGTTACACTGTTTCTCCTGGGTTTCTCTTAAAAATTTGAAAGAGCTCCAGATTTTTTACATATCCTTACAGTTTTGAATATGGACTTATTATGTACTGATTTCAGTTCTTGCTTTTTCATTCTTTGCACTGAATTTTGCACTTTTAAACGTCAACCCCAAAATTTTTCTACATCGGTGCTTATTGACTTAAGACAGGCTTCCAAAGTAGAAACTGACAAATTAGTCAAAACACATGTTCATTTATAAAAGTTTCAGTTTTCTAACCTGGGAACCAAATCTCGTAGAAGCCAAATTTTAAAATGAGGAATCCAGTGGAAAGAAGTGGAATCTTGAATTACTAGAGCCATGAAATATATAATACATACTCTAAATTATATAAAAAATGGAAAAAATCGGGCACTTCAATCAAATTTTTGAGAGAAAATTGGTAAAATAAGCATACAGAGCAGACAGATGTGCTATTTCAAGTAAAGGTGTTGTAACATACAACAGGTCTATAAAAAGCTCACCAGGTCAATGGTTGCACCTTAAGGAGGTTATGTAAGCGTTCAATTAATAAACGTTCTTGAGATAACCTGATATGCTTTTAGAAAATATCTACAAACGGGATTCGTTCAAGTGCATGAATGTCACAGAGGTCAGATCTTAAAATCCAAAATTGAGTGGTGAGATTGAAAAGACAAGAAGCAATATAAGCGCAAGCAGATGTATTGTGTAAAAATATCAGAAAATCAGGCAATTCTTTCAAATTTTACAGAGAAAAGTGTGGAAGAGGATTTTCCCATTATATAAATAAATGAACCCCTATTTTGTACACTTAGTTAAAATTAAGAGACCCCTGGTGTACGTGTAAACTCCATTTTGGACATTTGTAAATAAAATCACTCTACATGCCTTCATTATCTCAATGAGTCAGTCAGGAGGCCAGTACAAACTCCTTTCACATTACAGTAAAACCTTTGAAGTGGAACACTTCTGTAAATGGAACTCCTCCTGAAACAGAACTCTTCAGAGTCCCATGACCAATCTGCTTAATGTTAAATAAAGTAAGTGGTAAACCTCCCAAATGGGACACTTCTAGAGGTATCAAAGTTCCACTTCCACAGGTTTTACTGTATATCTATGATATCTATGATCAACTGCTATAACCATGGGCATCATGACATCACAGTAAAAGAATAAACTTTTAAGTTTCTATCTTTTTGAAAATCTTTTGTAATTAATGACAGCCTTATTACTCAATATACAGGTTGGCCAAAAAGTGACCCATTCTGATTTTACACAGGTAACATTTTTTGGCCCACCTTGTACATGGATGACCTAATGGTAAAAGACGTCACAAATTCTTCACTTACCAATTTCTGTTGTCAGTCCAGTTCCAATAACGACACCTCTGCATTTTCCTGCTGCAATGTTGGTTCCCTATAAATATAAAGAAAATCAAAAATGAATACACATATGTACATATAATCATATTTGATGTATGAATAGTTCAATGAGCACTTTTTGGTGCATGTTGGTACAGTTTAACATGTATATTCGAACATGTCTCTATCCTGAAAACCTCTCAGTGCAAACACTTTTCTTGGTACCAATTTTTTTATCTGCCATTGTCTCACATATTGGCCAATCCAAACATTTTGACAAGATCCAGTGGTCTTCAGATGTGAGAGGTTTTACTCTACAATATGCAAATGTCAGGGGTATTGAAAGATGGCACTGCCTACAGGAAAAAATCACTTGATTTTTAAATGACAATTCTCGACCATATAGATAAATCTCTCCTTTTTCTGATCAGAACAGTAGGTAGGTAGACATAGCAACAGTATCAAGACAGCAAAATAAATATCATGCAGAAAGCTATTCCTTTGCAGTTTCGCTGATCGTTTAAGCAGTTAGGCCTTCTTGGATTTCTCCCATGCCTAAGAACCTGGCGTCAATATCACAAATGAACGAGACCTAATTGCCACTATATATGCACCGCACGACTCCGAGAGTAGTGTACCCTTTTACTTAGTACCATGATTTATGAGAATTTTAAGACATTTTCCGGCCAGTTATTACTTGACTTGTTGCTAAACCTTGAATAATTGAGTTTTGTGTTTGCACTATAAATATCTAATAAAACCTTAACGAGAACAGGTTGACATTAGTATGGGACTCAAACACTACCTATGGCCTTCAAATGTGTCATGAAGAACATGTTTTACTTTGTATTTTCTATCAGGAAACTGTGTCAGAGATCTCCATAGGATTTTTTCTCAAGTGGGTGCAAAATTCTCATTTTCACAATTCAGACCAAAATTGGTCAAAATATGCCAATTTTTCATGATTTTTCTCATTTTCAAGTGGGTGCAAATGGATTTTTAGGTGGATGCAAGCCTATTTTCCAAATTTCAGGTGGGTGCTGCGCCCACTTGCTTTAATGCTGGGGAGATCACTGTGTGTAATACTAGTATAGTATATATAGAGGTAATAACAAATATAATTTATTGTTGGAATTTTAGATGAAGTAACGACATTGTAATAATGATCCATTTAGGTATTTCATGACTTAGAAATACATTAATAATAAAACATCCACAGATCGATATTTTTTGTGGGTTTGGCATTTTCATTTTATCAGTCCTAAATTAGAAAAATATCGAAACTGATCAAAATATTATGATTTATCATGATCAAAATAAGGATATATCTTATTTAACAGTCTTGCATCAGTCTCTTCTCTCTTAGTAAGCGAAGGCAAAAGAGGTTTAAATGAGGGGCCATTTGCTTTTCCTCTTTTCTGAAATTTCATTTCCGTTGTCTTGTAACAAAGCTCCATAAATTTCATCTCTTAAGTTCAAGTTTATTGAGAGTACTCGAGAGTTCAAACATAGAAGTGATACATTCAAGATTCTGTGTATATCCGGATAAATCAAGATAAAAAGCTATCTTTTTGCTATAAAACATTTCAACTAATACCACCTGATAAATATCAAGATACTTGGTTACGGATTTATTGTAGAAGTACAATCAACATTTACTTTTCTCTGTACCAACACTGTTATCTGAAGTGGCAATAAAATCTATATAAAAGCAGGTTTTTATCAATACTGAAATAAATTAATTGAATGAATGATTACACTTTCATTATTGCATCAGAACATGAGGTATGAAAATGAGAGAATCTCACCAACTCTAAATAGTTACAAAGTGTAACGATTGTTACAGATGCAGAGGCTAATGTCATAAAAATAGTAGCTGTAACATGACACCATGTCATGGTGGTGACATCATAATTAGAACAAGGCATTAACACGCAAAATGTCACCACCTGCCATTTGTTACAGACACTGGAAGCCACTTGTCAAACACCAACTGCCACTTGTGATGGTGACATTTAATAAGTATGAATATATTTACCAGCAAAGCATGACTTTGTGTCAAAGTGTCTACAGAAATTATGACATTATCATTATGTCACATGACATCTCGATCACAATGACTGTCCTCCAATTTCAACTATTGACTTATAAATATAGAACTAATGACGCAAATGTGCAAATATTAGAATACAAGACTCATAATATTAAGAATGGTTTAACATGTCATTGCACTTTCAATTCAATAGTTGTGAGAGTATACTAATACTTCATACTGTAGATGAATGTCTTTATTAAATAGATTCTTTCAGGTTTCATGCTTTTTATGGTACAATATGGTACAATAATATTTTAATGATATAAAATGTCAATAAAAGTTATATATATGGCTGTCATATATATGGTATTTCTCAAACTATCTTTCTAAGATTTTAATGATTTTTTGCATTTTTTATAATAAAGAGTACTTATATTTTGATTTTAATATTTTCTGCTCGATGTTACATTTGGAATAATGATCACCTTGACATCTCACTGGGGTCGAGCCTGGTGCACTTTCCCAAGTACACCACTGATAGTTCATTCTTTGGTAAAAAATATCACAGTTCATGCCTAATTCTTTCAATTTCTCATTATAATTTGAATGAAGTACCAGGTTTTCTTGCATTTCTATACAATTTAGAGTGTTCACTACATGCCTGTTTACTTCATTCCTTGCTAATTCCACTCTTTATCACTCAATTTTACTTTTGAAAATGTGACTGTCCATTTTGGCATTTGCCTCACAGGTATGTATCAATGTACGTCATGCAACCAGATAACATTTGTAATGTTTAATTAGGAAAGAATGTAGTATTACGATTGAGGATTGATAGATTGGGCAGATGATACAATTAGAATGAAATGTCAGATTTAGAATAGGAAGGTCAGGTATCTGCTACCCTGGTTTTCAACCACCTGGCGATACTACACTCTAACTCTGACTAAACCAAATGATTTTTGTTTTGATGTAAATAAGGTCTTTATGATCTCTTATGTTAAGTAACACAGAGATTTTTTGTCGGATTGAGGCATTCACCAATGAATTGAATAATTTTAGGATTAGAGAAATTATAAGTTGGTATGCACTATTTTGTTGGTTTATCTGGGCCATTTGTTCTCTACATTACAGAGAACACATGGAAATGGAATGAAAAATATTTCCAGTTTTCAGAAAAAGACACGTTAGCTAACGAAGGATCAATACAATCTTTCAGTTATCCTTTCTAACTAAAGAACATGTGATAGAGTCAGATTGCTCTTTAGCTCAAGTGGTAGATCACTCTCCAGTTATCTCCCCAGGATTTTTTCTCAGATGGGTGCAAAATTTTCATTTTCACAATTCAGACCAAAATTGGTCAAAATATGCCAATTTTCCATGATTTTTCTCATTTTCAAGTGGGTGCATATGAATTTTCAGATGGGTGCAAGCCTATTTTCAAAATCTCAGGTGGGTGCTGTGCCCACTTGCTTTAATGCTGGGGAGATCACTGCTCTATATCTAATTGGGAGGCTGTGGGTTCAATTCCCACCAAGGTGGATTGACTTTTTCATATCTGCCATTCGCTCAGAATTTGATCCTATGTTTCAAATTAGTAACCAATCACTTCAAAAGTGAAATTTCTTTGTACTTACGGAGAAAAGAATGTTTTTCTTGTCCTGGTTGACAGCCCGGGGATCAGGTATGGCGTCACAGTGTTTCAGGACGGAGACACTCTCTCCAGTCAGGATAGCCTGGTCTACACGTAGGGTAGTGGAACTGATCTTGAGCAGACGGATATCAGCTGGTACTTTGTCACCAACTGCAAAATAGAGAAATAATGACGATTTAGACGAGTCAAATGCGTAGATATAAATATTGTGTTTTACGTTGTCACCAACTGCAAAATAGAGGAATTATGACGATTAAAATGAGTCAAAGATTTAGAGATTGGAACTCGGAGTTAAGGCAAAGTTCCATTGCATAGACCCCGAAATCTAAGAATGGAGACAGTATTGAGGTGGACTTTGTGTTTTTTATTTATGAGACAACAAATATTTTCTGTTAGTTTTTTCCCTAAATGGGCTGTTGTCATTTGTAACTGCTTTTAATTGTTTTGATTTTTGAAACCAGTGGACTTTACAAAGAAGTCCAAAAATCTATTCATCTCTTGGTATGAACCTGCTGTAACATCTGTGAAAATTTCAAATTGAACAGGTAAGTGGTTTTTCTGGAATTTTGATGATAAGATTTGTGTGGAACCAGATGCGGTAAAAATCAAAGGTAATCAAATCTGTAAAGGGTAACCAAAAGACTTTCTAGAGAGAGAGAGATGTTAAAAGACGTATTGGACCAAATGAGCCAAATACTATATGCTACTTAAACTCTAACAGAAAGAAAAATGTCTTATTACTCATTTTACAAAAATACAACATTAACTTCAAAACGTTTCTTCGTACCAGTTCTAAAGTGGTGATAAGGAAGGGGAATGAGGGGGGGGGGGGTTGCTCTGGGATTTTTACTAGCAAATCAGACTAGCCTGCCAAAGGAGATTATACTCTGCATATAGATTACTATACTTTAAGAAGGACATATTTAGAATAGTTAAAGGTATATGAAAACCCTCTATTGCACCCAGAAATAGAAACCAGGTTATAAGATACTCCCCAAAAGCTAAACACTTAAACTCACACAGGACCAGCATAAAACCACCATTGAAAATAAGTGTCATTTTAATGTGTGATGCTTATGATAGTTGAATGTAAAAGGTAAGTTGCAATGATATGTGTATGTAATTAGAATTAGGGAGGAACATTTCTATCCTATGCTATGGAAAGCACAAGGTTAAACATGCATGCAAGTAATCCACTTCTTTGCCATTCTTCAGATGAAAATTATGTTCAACAAAGGCACTGGAAACAGTTGACATAGCGACCAGTGGAAACTGTTGTCATAGCAACCATTGGAAAAGGTTGACATAGAAGCTTAGAAAATTGTGCTTAGAACTTATGACTCCAGAATTGATAAAATGTAGCAACATATATTCAATTTGACCTTGAAATTCAAATCTATAACTGACTTTGTAACTGAAAATCAAAATTGACATCAAATCTAAAATTGACTTTGAAATTGAAAATCTTGAATTGACCTGAAAATTAAACTTGAGTTGGTGATACTGAAATTCAGTGATAGCCATAATATATGTACTATGTAATACTGAACCAGCAAATGTACATAACACAACACTATATGATATACTGAAATAGCTGCTGGTATACACATCATCTTTTTATCGATCATTTTAAGATTTATATAATCTATCTATTCACAAGGCAAATATTTAGTCAAATTATTGAGTTATAGCTATGAATTATGATGTTTAATCACGCAAATATTTTTATGTAAGCCATTACAGTTTACATGGAGCAAATGCCTGGATAAAATGCCAAGAGAATTCATTCACATCTTCAAATACTGCATGCCTATTTATTTTATTCCTAGCTGATTTCACTCTTTTCCACGCTATTTTACATTTCAAAACATGACCACTGAAATTTTTTTCTCATGGAATTATCCAATTTAATTAGAAATTCCCTTGATTTGCCAACCTGAACTAGGGACTAGAAAAAAATTCAACAAAGCTCTCCTTAAATCTAAACACCTCCTTAAACAGAACGCCTCTCAATGTGAACACGTTTTTCTTGGTCCCAATTTCATTATGACTCACATGTTAAGAAACCTTGAAATGTGAACACTTTCGAATTCTAAACATAGGGTTCAATGTAAACTCTCAACAAAATAGTGAGGTTTTCCTAGCTGATGTCGATGAAAGAAGTAAAGCTTATGATACCTGGATAGATCGAAACAGACGACCACCAGCAGTTTTTGAAGAGTAAATTTTTGTAGCGTTTCAAGCCTGAGTTGATGCTTGATATGAAAGAAGCAGATCAAAACAGATGCAAGCAACATTCTGTGAAATTACAAAGTGTTGAAATATACGACGTATAATGTTTTTAATATCATAGAGAATGCGTTGCCACGATAAGTGATTAAAACAATCAAATAACCGTGATAACAAACTGTGAGATTATATTGCGACGGTCATGTTTTTAAATGCAAGAATAAGCAGAACAGAGTGAAATCAGCAAGGAATAAAGTAAACAGACATGTAGTATATACTCCAAATGGTATAGAAATGCAATGAAATCAGAAACATTATTCAAATTTTAGAAAGATATTGAGTATAATAGGTAACCCCAGAGATATTACAATCACAGGTAATGCAAACCATAAGGAGCAATTTCATGATCCACAGTAAGGTAGCCCATGAATGAAATATAATTGTAATATCAGGTGTAAATAGGGTGCAAAAGAGAAGAATTAGCAAGGAATAAAGCAACCAGGCTGAAAGAAGTAACTCTATATGATACAGAAAGGCATGGAAAACCAACGCTTTATAAAAATCTCAGAGGAATGGCATGCAGGACTATTAATTTCATGGAAATAAGTGACAGGAATTAATTACTTTGTGGTTGATTATTTTTTCGTGGTTGCTTTTTCTCCATGAATCAACACATCAATGAAAATATTAGCACTATCCATGCTAATGTTTATTACTGCTACATAAGATGATTTTCAGCATATATGAGGCAATCTATATGTTCCTAACTGGAGCTATTTCCCTGGTTGCTATAGAAACCACGGTTGACATGGTAACAAATATTGAGAGACAGGCGTGGAAAAGGCGAACCTTTACAGTTAGGATTAAGTGGATTTTTAAGCACTTTGAAGATACACCATCCACAAGGAACCTATAAATAACATAGTGCACTCATATCTTTGGTACTTTCACCTATGATTTATCTCTCTTCTAGCATGTACATATTTCACATGATTTCTCTCTAAAATTTGAATAAATTGCCAGATTTTCTTTCATTTCTATACAATTTAGAGTGTTGACTATAAGCCTTTTAACTTACACCTTGCTAATTCCACTAATTTCTACTTTATTTTGGATTTTAAAAATGACCACCATGGCTTTCTTTTGGGGGTTAAGATCCAGGTAACTGAGAAGTATCCAGAAGACGGAATATTTCTGGATGTTTTTCATTATTAAAATATAAAGTGATAATTTTCCATAGATGCTTAGAAATTAATCCTCATATTATTCGACACAAAAAGTTGTATCCACCAAAAAGTATAAAATTCTCAGCGAGAAGTAACATTCAACCAAGCTAGCATGTAAAGCCAATCAACCTGGTTTACAATATTCACCTTAAGAGGCAATACCCCCCCCTTCCATATCTCAAGAGAGACCAGATCTACCCTCTGTCAGATCAGCCAGTATCATCCCAAACTAGATATGAATGACTTGTACTCAATGGCTCCACCAATTTCTAGAATTCTTTCAGATCAAGTATTTTGGAAGATTTTGGTACCAACCCTTTAAGAGGTAATATATTAGGTAAAAGGCCACTTATAAAGGCCATGAAGGGCAAAAGATCATACGTAATACACATAAAATAAGTAAATTAAAGATACTAGTCAGATATCTGGAGATATACAGATGCTATATACTTAACAAGTAAATATACCAATTATTTTAATTGTACAATTCATAGCATGTATTTCATCTTCAGTCCAAATACCGTTGTGATTTTTAAATGCTTTTTATTTCTTAAGCCAACAATCAGTGATTCAAATCAAAAATGATTTGATGTTTTTACCAATTTTCAAAATCATCCTTGTGTTAAATACCTGCACTATATTAAGGGCATTATGTAATAGACGTATTGCTTCACTATCTACCACCTAAATAGAATACTTTTGCCTTCAATAGCTTCCTAGCCATAAAATTCATCGGTTATATTTCAAAATAAGAGAAATATCCAAGAAATAAAGTTTAAAAAAATGGTCATGACGTAGTTATATTAAATTGTATAGAATTACCAGAACATAAAATATCGCATTCCAATTTGATAAGAAATTCAGGTAAAATAAATAAGACTGGAATAGAATTTTGAAAATTGGCGAGGTTCATCCATAGGGCAAGAACCAAAGTAACCTTTATATGATATTGGGTCAAGATTTTTGTGCTATAATAACCTGGGGATGTACAATAAATATAGACCATATTTTTTCTCTTATGAGAGCACAGTGAAGTTTCAAAATTTAAATTTAAAAGGGTAACATATTGAAATATTCCAATAAGCGCACATACAAAAAAAAAATATCGCTGATAATGTTTTTAGTTATTATCACTAAGGTTTACATATGTATGCTACAGCTCCCGTATTTCTTCCTCTGCATTAAATATAATCATCAATCGATATCATGTAGTATAAGAAATCGAAACTAATGCATTAAACTTCACATTCAAGTTAAAAGTCGCATATCACGGTGCCCATGTCAAGCTGCGCGCCTAGTTTGTTTCGATCACAAACTGCGTGCCTAACAACATTGCACCATTTAAGTTGGAGTCTGTATTTGAAACGTAATTTAAAGACATTTATCCTGCATTGTTTTCTTGTTCAATGCGTTCATTCTGTGGTGAATATACGAATCTTGCAAATACTAGCAAAAACTATGTGCAAATAAATCTAAGTTTTAAAACATAAGCAGATTGATGGCATTTTCGTCACTGATTTAACGGAAATTTATACGTAAATCGATCTAGCACTTTAAACATAAATGACAAATACTTTAGACTCGTTTTATATTTAATTCCTTACGCATTTATCATGTATAATTCAAAATATTTCGAGATAAAACAGATAATCAGGAGATTAAAAAGAAATGAAGCACAAACTGCGCGCCTATTTTAGCCAGAAATTACAAACTGTGCGCATACACTGTTAAAACTACATATTATCATTGGAATTTCTACAGAGGCAGGTGTAGGTGTTTTTCATATAGCTTTGGAAACTTTGCTTTATCGTCAGATTTTATGAGATTTTCATATTGAAAGTCAAAATGTATAATAGAAGTGACAATTAAGTTGGGAACGAAAAGAAATTATTTTCAGATCACCATCTTGGTGGATGGACTCTCATAGTGTTTCAATTATGGGGTTCTACTGTTAGACACATATGTGCCTTACATATGGCGCTTACGTTTTCAAATAATACAAAACAAGCTTGGATAGGCAAGCAGTTTGGAAATATTAGGCACGCAGTTTGGGAAATACATGTGAATATAGGCGCGCAGTTTGACAAGAAAAATGTTTAAATCACGTTTATGGCGTATTATCGTTTTGAACACAAACTATGCTGCTTTAATCAGATGGAGTGATCTTATTTATTCTAGCATACACAGACACAATGGCTGAATAAACGGCAAATGACGATAAAAAGACATAGATATAACTTTACACTGTAAATTCTGAACACAGAAGTTACTTAAGACCCTTATATTGAGATAACTAGGTTTACATTGGGAACAACATTGAGTACTATGAGTAAATTAAGTTCATCTTCACAGAATGGTACTATCTTTAGAACAAGACTAACCTTGTATTTTTCGTATTTTGGCTCTTTTTGGGAGTCGTGTCCTCCCAGTCTTCCATTTTGAAATATGCGCGCAGTTTGTCAGAGTTTCAAACTGCATGCCTAGTAGGCACGCTGCTTGACATGGGCATCGTGCATATGCTTATTGGAATTATGCGCTCATTAGAGAAAACATGGTTAGAACATGAATGAATGTTAAAAAATGATGAATATGGTAAATATGAATTGTTCATATGATAAAACAGATGCACCTATTAATAGAGCTTTCATCGAAATGTTCGATTGGTTCCGAGTATTTCTGACAGAAAAAGATATAACAGAGTTTCACATCACCATGGCAACTGTGTTCCATATCACCATGGCGATACAAATTATTAAGATACCATAAATATAATTACCAGGGGTAGTATGAGTCATTTGGTTATCTCGACACCAATAAATACCTATTTAAAGTGATCGTTTCTTTCTTGACAGAAATCCACTTAATGTTAATCAAATCTAAACTATATATTTGTAATATTTTAACATCTAGGTTTTATATGCAAGATCATGAAAGTTATAAAAAGTGTCTGACAGACAGATAATTTTTTTGTATGATGCAGAAATATATTATCATCTTTTGTAATATTTGAACTTAAAGATGTTGAAATATTGCTCCTAAATCTAAATATAGTTCAAAGCAGGAGGTAAAATTATTGTATAATTTGACGCCAGATAATGTAAAAGGTACATTTGATTGTGATATTGAATAACAAATGCTAAAATACACAATGTTTGTACCCAGGAACCCTTGCAATACTGAATGCACAATGTTTGTACCCAGAAACCCTCGCAAGATTGAACACACAATGTTTATACCCAGGAACCCTTGCAATTTTGTACACACAATGATTTCAAAGGTAAAATGATTATTTGATTCATTTTGTTCAATATGTTGCATAATATTTGTGCATTAGATCATTGTTTGGGATGGTGGGATTTGTTTCCAATTATACCTTTTGATATTCCATACCATTGTTTCTGAAAACCTTGTGGTCTTTTTCTCATCAACATGTACAATAATAATTACCTGAAACGTCTACAATGTCTCCAGGCACAAGTTCACGGGCCTTGATGCGCTGAACACCTCTGTGATTCTTACGGATCACCTTGGCGATTTCAGGTTCGTATTCTTTCAGCGCCTCAATGGCATCTTCCGCATTTCTTTCCTAAAAATATACAGAATAAAATTTAAGTGAAGGCTCTATGGATCGTTTCAAGTACAAATATAAATGTACTGTATAATGGGGGGAGGGGGTCTGGACATTTGTTTACAAATACAAGAAAAGAATGTTCATTCTTTCCATTATACATAATCAAGAAAATGATAAACACTGATTTGTGACATACCTCACACATACAAATATTAATCCACCAAACACTAAAGGAAGCAGTATCGCTCAAAATGATACAGAAATTATTTATGTAGCTCAGGTGTTTAACAAACCAGTTGCTTTTCTCAGATATATTAGATACTATATTATACCGGTGTCTGCATTCTTGCTTGCTTGTTTACTTCTAGATTTCCTCTATTAGTAACCCTTTGAAAGAGCTTAACTCTTAAAATAAGATAACTCTTTGATCTAGCCTCTGTCTAATCAGAATACATATTCAAACAAGGCATTAACATGCAAAATGTCACCACTTGCCATTTGTTGGACACACCAACCGCTGAATGACTAATGCCAGATGCAACGCCAAATACCATCCATAACAAAAGAGGGACACTATAACAATATGTCATCAATTGCTGTGGTGACATAAAAATTACAAAATACATTTTTTCTGTTGAATACCATTTCGCACTAAAACTCCAACAAAGGAGTTGATGATTCATTTGAGATTCTTAAGACTTATAAGCACTAAGAATTACAAAATATTCTGTTATAGTCAGAGAGAAATTCGACTTGTTCTGGATTCAGGGTATGTTTTAGTTAGGGCGATTGATGTTAGACAAAATGATAACTTACATAATACATATCCCATAATGCAACTGAATAAGTGCAGCAGCTATAATTCTGCAGTTGAACACATCCCATAATGCAACTGCATGTAGTGTAGCAGACGTACTTATAAAAGATGGGAGCACCTATCCCATTGTATAATATTAATAATGGCACTGTAGATTGATAGGGATTTTACACAATTTGCACTGATGCATTAGGAAAACCCTGCATAATTTGATAGATGCTGAAATCTGGTAACAGTATTTTTGTGTCTTACCTTTCTAAAAAAATATAAAGTGCAAAATTGGTTTGATCAGAATTGATGGGGTAATAATATTATTTTTGATAAAATGGTTGTTGATCACAAGAGAAAAAGTAAAATAAAGGTGAACTAAATATGAAATAGAGTTGACCATTATTGTATTGCCAGTGTGAAAAAATCATTTCTGGTAGAATTGTTTGACCTTTATTGGAAAAATTAAATAAAATCAATTCAAAATTAAGTTGAGTGTATATTCCTATAAAGTGCAATAGAATTAGAGAAAAGATTTGACCTTTAGAGGCAAAGTAACCTACAAAAAGTAGCTTGATTTTTATAAGTTTACAAATGAACATCAAGAGTTGAAACAACGTACGAGTAATACACAAGGTGTCAAAATTAATTATATGCTATATTATATGCTAATGTTACTGGTTTCTGAACCCAAATGAGGGGTTGAACACTGCTTTGAATCATCTAGATCATAATAGTTTACAGGATGGTATTTTAGAAAATAATGAATTTTTTAAAAAATGCACGTTTGGTAAAAGGTATACTGAAACCAAGTTCAGTGAAAATTTGCATTGAGTTGAGAAACAAAACAGGGAGATCATTGACGTTAGTTTGAGATTTATCTAATAGATTACTCGTCCCTGCCGCTGCTAGAACACAAAAGGCTGTTGTGTTATGTTAGCCTTTTGGCACAGGAGGAGTAATCAAAGCACACACCTGGGGTGCAATCAAAGGTACATTACATATCCCATAATGCAACTAACTTTGCAGACGTAATACAATAGTTGTAGATATGACGATATCCCCTATCCCATAATGCAACTAACTTAGCAGACGTAATGCAGAATAGTTGTAGATATCCCAAAATGAAATAAGTGTGGCAGACGTAATGAAAAATGATGGCATTACCTATCCCATAATGCAACTAAATTAGCAGACGCAATGATAAATGATTCAACATTTTATCTGTAATGCAATTGAATAAGGCACTTTGGCACATAAGGGAATGAATACCATGAATCTTCTAGACATAAAAAGCCCTCTTAGTGATGCAGCCAATGGGAAAATCTCCAAATCTCCAAATCACTGAGTATTTATAAGAATTGTAAAGGTTAAGAAAGACGATAGTGAAATGAAGATAATCCAAAGAGATCAGTATTATTTATTCTCACTCAGTGGATCGCTCAAGTTGTTTGCCACTTGTACACTTGTATATCCAAAGTGATAGCTTAATTTATCAAACATAACCATACAATCATTTACCAATAAAGAAAATGCCAACTCTTGTACCAATTCAATGCTTCGGCAGTTTTATATATAGAAATCACATCAAGGTAATCGCAGAGATCTGTATGCTTCAGAGATGTTTCTGAGAGATGCCTCAGCGATGTGAAGCTTAAAGTCTTGTATCGTGGCCCTTTCTCTGCGAGAGGAAGAGGGAATAGGGTATGTACAGGTTCGTCAAAGTAATCTTTTCAATAGAAGCCATTAAGAAATACTGAAAAATTCCTTTTTAATATGTTATTTGTTATTTTCCTTGAAAAAAATCTAGCACCAAGAACCAAAGAGAGGGCATAGGTATGTATAAGATTACCAAAGTGTTTTATTTAAACGAATTTTTTTTTATTTAAACGAAAAAACACTATTTGATACAACTAAGATCAGATTAATCCTTCTTATTTTTTTTATTTTTTTTTTATTCGGAGATCAGCGATTCTAAGCCTTTCCTAAGCCTTCAAATAATAAATAATTGATCCAAAATTGTTGTACTCAGATCCTACATCCAAATATTATCCAGCTAAAATATCTTAGAATTTTGAGCAATATATCAAAAGAGAAATCAATAGAGAGTGTTAATATACTGATAGATTGATCCAAGGGGAGGTGTTAAAACTGTCAATGTACGAAACATAAGATGAATGGATATTTGATTCTGCAATTCATATTTTGGAAGAACTCCGTATTAAGCTGCTTTTTTCTAATGTTGCCCTTTGTAGTTTCTTGATTAGAAACATCCCTTTTATAAAGAATGATAACTTTCTCGGAGCTATATTTTACTTTACTTCTTTCAAAGTGTAAATTTTATAGTATCTTTTTACAACATTTTTCTACTATTTAGAATATTGATTAGTGATTACATGCTGGTTTACTTTACTCCTTGCTGATTCCACAATTTTTCTGGTTTTCTCAATTGAAAACCTGTTTGTAAGATCATTTTTCAAGACACAGATTCTATGTTTTCCTGCCCACAAACAGCCAACCATCAGCGTATTATTTTCTCTGGCACCTTCTATTCCACTCACTCAACATTCATCAAAGATATAATTTCAAATGTGATGTAACAATCTTAGAACATTGAAAGATATGACATATTACATGCTACTTCATAACGTATGAGTTGAACTCTTCAAGTACCCTTTGCCAGAGTGTGAATTTACCTTAACTCTGAAATTAAAGATTACAATTGGATTTAACCTACAGTCAGCTTTTGCAGAAAGAAAGAAGAAATGCAGGGGGGGGGGGGGGGTATTCTAGACAATGTTGGCCAAAGCAGGGGAGGGGTATTTTACACAATGTTGGCCCAAAATCACTTGAAAAGTCCTCAGAATTATGAAAAATTGCATAATTTTGAAAGAATTTTTTTGGACTAGGGAGGGGAGGGGCTGACTACAGGTCTGTATAATCTATCTATTCCAACCATCATATTCAGTGTTCATATTTAAGCACACACAGTCAACATTTATTTCATATTAAAAACTTAAAACGAAATTTGAGTTAGTAAGGATATTACTGTAACAGTTAAATCATCTGTAATAGTCAGAGGGCAAAAGTGTGACCAACTAATAAGGCTCCAGGGTACACTTAAGATTTGCTTTGCTTTTTCAAGAGTATTGAGCCAAAGTGGAAGCTATGAACATGGTCTCTCAGATCCCATTAAGCACTTGGGAATAAGTCATTTCTTAGTATTATTTATCATACAATTTCTAATGTTTCAGGAAAATGTTGAGTACCCATTCTGATTCATTAGAGTGTCTCTATCTATAGCTTGCGAGGGATCTCCATTCTAAAGGATAGTAGGGATGGTGGATCCCAAAATGTTGAACACCTTTACAGTTTGAAGTTGTAACAAAAAGTAGGCGATACTGCTCTGAAATAGGAATCTTACTTTGAATTTTGTTATGAGACTAAACTATATGAGAAAAAATGTTTGGGCTGGGAACCTAAAGTTTATTTATGGTATCAGGGTTGATGTTTTTACTTTCCATGAAATTTCAGGGTAAATTGAAAACTGAAGTACATTGTATATGAGAGTCAGAAAAGTTTAGGCCAGGAAACCAGTTTTTTCAGAGTGGGGATGAGGTGTAAGAGGTTTACTTTCCTTGTAATTTAGTAGCCTATATTGAGTTAATATACCCTGCGTGCAGAGCATAGTTAAACTACACTCTGCCTAGTAGAGACCATATTACAGTTTAGTAGCCCCGCCCCAACGACGGGTACCGGTGACAGTTTGGGTAAATCACTTTTGACCTACGCGCTGACTTCCACCAATCAGCAAGCTTGAAGAAACATACGCCGAATGCGTTCTAATTAAATATGCGCATGTCATTGGTCAATTCCGGGCTCAACGATGACGTCAGAAGGAATGACCATATAAAGAACGTCGGTCAAATTTGGCCGACGAACACTGATTGGTGCGGTGAGTTCACAGGTTTATTTTAGTTTGAAAGAGTGAAGACGAAGCTCTCTTTTAAGAAGTGAAGTCAAACGAATGCAAAGGGTAAGTTTAATACTTAAGTGAGCGAAGGGATGGGAGACCAAGATTTCAGGATCAATATTTTCTAATTTTTTTTAAGATTCAAAACTTTCAAAATTTATAATTAAAGAGAATCGTGGTAGAGACGAAATTGAGATTTTCCCCCAAATTCTATATGTCAAACCATGATGATGATATAATTAGAGCTTATCGTTTATTGGAAAAAGATCCGATGTATCTTAATTTGTTGGGCAACAAGAAACATGGAAAGATATGTAAACAATATTATCTTAGTAGGTGCTAAAAGCAGAAACAAGAATAATCTGAACAGTTATTCAACCAAGACATTGATGTAGTTTTACATCAGTACTCTATTACCTATTTTTATTGCTCTAATGAGTGATGATCATGGAAGAGGATCAGGCCGTAGCCATGGAGGGGGGTCTTCGAACCCCCCTGGCCAAAATTCTTTCAAAATCATGCAGTTTTTCACCATTCTGAGCACTTTTTAAGTGATTTTGGCCATTTTTGGACCACAATTATCAAAAGTGAACCCCCCCCCTGGAATTTTCCGAAAAGTGACCCCCCCTTGACAAATCCTGGCTACGGGCCTGAGAATGCCAGGATGGTAGGAAGGGGGGGGGGGGGACTAAAACAAGGATTTGTCATGTTTAAAGTCTTTGTCACATGGAAGATGAGTACCATGTCAGTTCTTCCAAGTTTCATTGATTATAATATTTGATGATAATGGGAGGCAGAGGTAGGAAAAGGGGGCAACAAGGATTTGTCCCGCTTAAGTTTTCTATAACATGGAAGATGAGTACCATATCAGTTCTCCCTAATTTCATTGCTCTTATATGGCTCAACAATGGTGTTAATGTAAGAGGAGGGTAGAAGGGGAATGCTAAAGAGGGAACTGATACAAGTCCATAGTATAAGCCCACTTATATTCTCTATAACACCAAGAGATGAGTAGCACTCATATATTCTGAAGAAGGGCTAAAACATGCTGTTATTCCATGATTAACCTGGGGAAGGTCATACCCAAGGTCAGTGACTTCTCTAAAATGGTTAGACATTCTTAATATTCCTATAAGTACAATAGTACATGTATACATATTTCCAATGAAAATAGAATTTAGAATATTTCAAATATACTACATATATCATGTAATAATGGCAAGATAGAATTGTAAAGTAAGAGCCAGAATAAAGTTAATATGCAACATGTCAGATATATGAATTATAAAAAAGATATAGCCAGAAAGTTTATTCAGAACTCTTTCAGAAAATGAGTATAACATCAAAATGTTTCCTGAAATCATTAGGTCAGAACTGGTGTAATCCCTTGACATAAATCACACGATGGTTACATTTTGAAATGCAAAATTGTGTGCAAAAGAGAGGAATTAGCAAGAAATGAATTAAACAGGCATGTAGCCAATACTCCAAATTGTATAGAAATGCAAGAAAATCAGATACTTTATTCAAATTTTAGAGAGAACAAGAGTGAAGAAGGTATGACCAAGTCCTTTTTTGGTATGGGTTTACACATCACTTATTTGTAAATGGGTAGGATACCTAGGGAAATGAGCTATTTCTGGATAGATAGTGTCCAGAATCTTTCTAAAATGCATAAATCAAGGCTCAAGCACAGATATGCCGATTAGCATCATGGCAAAACATTTATGAAGTATAATGCAAGCCATATAGTTGGTAACCTTTGCACCCCTTTCTCCATTTTTACATGGAATGAAATTTATTTCGTAATAGACTCAAGATTCGTGGTTGCAAAAACACTCTCAAAACAACTGACACAATTTTAGAGTCAATAATGCAAATCTTTTAATGTTAACGCACCTCAAATAAATTCCTTATTTCCAGATTTGCTTCAAATAATCTAATATACCTCTATAAAAGTTCAAAAATTGTATAACTGTCAAAAGATGGGAAAATCCTAAAATATTACACAAGAATTTATTAGACTTAGAATGTTGCACTAAAAGACTTTTCATAAAAAAACTCAAAATTAACCTTAAATAATCGTACACAAAAATATTAAGAAGATGAGAGTGATGGGATTATGGGAAAAAAGCCGTAAACAGGTTCCTCTCTGGTTTAAGACCAGAACAGCAGAAAGGTAATGTGTAAGAGTTAACAGAATATAAAGGTGTTAGTTAGAAGTTAAAGATAGTTTCGCTTCTGTGTATGCAAGTGCAGTATACTGTACAACAGCCATGCAAGACTGGCAAAGATAATCTTTGTCTAATACAAGTGTGTTTTTTACTTATCTTTCTAACAGGCCAATTTACAGCAAAATACAACTCTGTGCTATCTGTTAAGCTTACTATATAGGATGGTTAGTGCATGAGAAAAATGCAGGAAAAATGTCAGAGGGGTCATTTTTTCAAATGCAAAATTGTGAGATATAGTGAGGAATCACTGAGGAATGAAGTTACCAGTCGTGTAGTCAAGACTCTTAATCATATAGAATTGCAAAAATATTGAATATTTCATTCAAATCAAAGTAAGAAATACAGAGAAATATGCATGATCAAACTATTTGGAAATTAAGGCACATGTACATGATACTGCCTCCCCTGTTGTTTAGAGAGATTTAGATTTTGAAAATGAATTTTAAAATGAAATCAATTCGAGCACAAGTTTCTAGATATTGAATACTTTTTAATAAACAGAACTAGAAGATTTTAAATCTAAAATCAAGTTGTGTGAACTTTGAAAAACTAATTGAAATGTTTTGAACAGGTTTCATACAGTAAGGTGTTAAGAAGTCATCTATGATATTATAAATAGACCATTTATAAATGTTGACACACAAATAAATTGAGGATGACTAAAAATAGAGAAACTTCGTCAAAATAGACCAATGACATCAATAAAATAGCTTTTTTAGTTGAACAGCTTTCATAAGTTTTTGACATATTTTTTCACATTGACGTATCTTGTTCATTCAAACTTTATTTTTGAAGACTGTACGTCATATCAATTACTTTATTTCTTATCCTACACAAAGTATTGACTTTTTTGATATTTCAAAAGTGAAACAAGGTTACCGACAAAGTCAAATAATTTTTTCATAAGTCAGTCAAGAATTATAATGAAAGTTAAGAGTTTGCAATTTAACACAGCACTGCTACTCTATGCTTATAATTCTGAAAAATCTAAAGCTACATAAAGTTCTGAAGAATACTAGTCTCCAATTCATCCTCCCCTTCATATGTGCAAAAGAATATAGACTTCTATATGGAGCTAAATCTGAGAGCACAGGCTGACACATTACACCCTCAAGTAAAAAAAGTTATTCTGATTTTTGATTTTGGAACCATGTAATTGGAGCATACCTTTTCATATGCAAAAGTAAAGATGGACACCCACCCCTCGTGACATAAAAATGAGGTACCCGATGAGAAAATAGATGGACCTACCTGCCACACGCCTACGATGGCATTGGCTATGAGGATCAACAAGATGACGAAGGGTTCAACAAAGGCAGTAACTTGCTCATCTTGGTCTTCAAACCACGCAAGAATCTGAAAATACAAAAAACAAATATCAACATAGGACTCTCTCTGGTTATTCCTCTTGAATTGTTAATGAGTTCTTGTACTGGTGGACCTAAGTATTCAGTCGACTTTAGTATTCAGTCTACATACAGCCCCAAGGAAATGTGGTCAATAAAGATTTTTGGAGCTGTACAAATACTGTATATGGGCATTTGTGAAATGTTGTTAATTAAACCCTACATACACGGGGTACCAACGAATAATTTTGGCAACGTACCGGAGAACGACATTTTACTTAGAAATGGCAATAATTTAGCACAATATATTTTTTAACTAGAGTTCTATTTTGATTTTGACAAAAGTAAGTATTCCATGCAATAACTATTTCATTCATGAGTTTGTAGGAATTCTGTTGGAACCCAGTTCTGATCAAGTACGAAGTTATTGAAATCGGCGCAGACGGACTTTACTCCGAAAGATGGTTTTTCGATTATAACTTTTCACAACATTTAAGTATACACTTTTGAAAAAAGTACAGAATAGTCCTTATACTTTTGAATAATTCTGTTATTTCTGATTCACACGACTATGATTTGTTTAATTAAAAAAAAAGTTTTAAAAATATTACTTAGGAACGTAACCGGAGCAGGGAACGTAACCGGAGCGGATCAGTTGAATTATTTAATCAAAAAAATTAAAATATATGATTTAAAGCACATATACTAATTTAAAAACATACGGGATTGTTCGAATGCGTATTTATTAATATATATGCTTTAAATCATATATATATCAGGAATTATATAATTCAACTGATCTGCTCCGGTTACGTTCCCAGCTCCGGTTACGTTCCTAAGTAATATTCTTAAAACTTTTTTTTTAATTAAACAAATCAGAGTCGTGTGAATCAGAAATAACAGAATTATTCAATAGTATAAGGACTATTCTGTACTTTTTTCAAAAGTCTATACTTAAATGTTGTAAAAAGTTATAATCGAAAAACCATCTTTCGGAGTAAAGTCCGACTGCGCCGATTTCAATAACTTCGTACTTGATCAGAACTGGGTTCCAACAGAATTCCTAGAAACTCATAAATGAAATAGCCATTGCATGGAATACTTACGTTTGTCAAAATCAAAGTAGAACTCTAGTTAAAAAATATATTGTGCTAAATTATTGCCATTTCTTAGTAAAATGTCGTTCTCCGGTACGTTGCCAAAATTATTCGATGGTACCCCGTGACATACAGACCAAGTCACAACCCCAGGAAATAACCCAAAGGCGTTATGATGGAGCAATTCAAACCTTGTGTCATGTACATAAAACAGTTATCCAATCATCTACAAATAATCACCAAGGTTTCCTGAGATTGTTTACTAGACTGTATAAATAACATCATTAATTGTTACATAACTAAATCAACAAATTAAATCTACATGTATAAATAATTCATGTCAGGCAAAACACAGTTCGGGGCAAAAAAAGTGGCAGGTGTATTTTTAATTTCTGCCTTCAGCAAGGAAGACAGCTAGCCTGGCCTGTATGAAAAATGATGGAGTTGTTTTCAATTGGAAAATATATTTGGTGAAAAGGGAAACCATCAAGGAATAAAAACAACATATGTATAAAAGAAGTAAAAATTCCAAATTATCAAGAAATGCCAGGAAATCTGGGAGATGAACAATTTAAAGAGAAACTCTGAGAAGATGCATGGATTCTGTGAATGTGTCTTATTAGAAAGGTGTGTGGTTGCTATGGTAATTGATTAGTTTAGTTATGACCTCACACATATGCTCTACACAAATGCTCTAACTCAGGTGTACATTGGTTACATGGTGGGAGTCAATTACCTGGATTTGATGGGATCACAGAATCATTGAATATTGCAGTTTTCTAACCAGGTGCTGCGCCAAGTTAAGAACTTGAAAATTATTTTGCACAAGTTCAAGTGGTAGAAAAATTAAACATTTGGTCAGCTTTAGATATTTCTTGAATTTTAAAGTAAGGTTCATAACTACCTGAAAATCTATCTCTACCAATTTAAATCAAGAATTGGCATATTTGGTCCAAATATGTTCGGAATTTTGAAAAAAATTGCACCTATTCAAGGGAAAAAATCTTCGAAAACACTGCTGAATACTGAAAGTGACCTTAACATAGTCAGAAATTACGACCCCTCTGTTATTTCATATCTCTTGTTCAATCAAGCAAAATACAAGATATCAACGTGATCCAATGACTTCATGCAAAAATCAAGCAGATTTAGTTACAACACGTAAGCTCATTGCTAGGTAACTAAACTTGGATGCCACAAGAGGTTCATCTCTAATCAGGCCAGGTAGTTTGGTAACTCATACAGCCAATAGATGACATGGTAGTTCATCTTGTACAGAAAAACTTGGTGAAATTGAACTCTCTTGGCGCAGAAATAATGTTCAATTTTTCACTTGATTTTCACTATAATTCACTTGATTTCTCCCTTAATTTTGAATAAGGTTTCTGGTTATCTCGTATTTCTTTATACTTTGGAATGATGACTACATGCCTGTTTACTTTCTTTCTTGCTGATTTCACTCTTTACCACTGAATTTTCCATTTTAAAACATTGCCAATATGACACTTTTATATTTTCTTTCATTATTATAGCAGAAGAAAAGCATGGGTACATGTGCTGTTATTATTCATTAGGATAATGACTTTTTAAAAAATACCATGGAGGTTGTATTTCATAACTCAAAATATTACTCAAAAGAGTCAAACCAGAAAAAGAGAAAATATAGAGGCATTTCATCAATACTTAAAATTGTATGGAAATGACAGAAAATCAGATACAATGTTGAAATTTGAGAAGAAAATGAAGCAGAAACAGCACGTACAGAAATGCAAGAGGGTTTAACATATTGATCAGATTACTGATTACATTCATATTAATAGTACATCCAATATGATTATCCTAATACCAAACATAATACTGAGTGATATTCAGAATATCCTTTCTGACCCTTTAATATTGTTTCCGTCTGCTTTGCTTACTACATGCCGTTTCTCTTTAAAATTTGATTGAACCATCTGATTTTATTGCATTTCTATACAATTTGAAGTATTCGCTACATGCCTGTTTATTTTATTTCTTGCCTTTTCCATTCTTTTCTTGCCTATTTTGCATTTCAAAACATGACCAATATTAATTTTTCTTGTTGGATTTGTCAACCTTGTGCAGCATGCATTATGGAACTGATGTCCATGACATCTTCTAAACAAGTTGCAATCCCTGTATCCTTGTCTCGCTCAAATGTGGGTGAGAGAACTGGATAGTACTTGGAGGGAGTTGACTCCAATTTGATATAACACAATAGTAACGTTCTCATATGATTCTCATCATTTCGTACCTATTGCTATTGAAAATGGGGAATCTACTTCATACCAATAATCATATCTTTCATAATGGCCATTGTTTGAGTGTTTTGATGATGTGTTATTTAAACTGTAATTGAGAGCTGATAGCTCAATACATGTATTTACAATGACAAGATAGCAATTAGTGCATTCCCCTTTGTTCAAACACAAAGGTAGTTATTTCTCCAATTTGCCAATTTCATTCTAGATTCTGCAATATTCAATACAAAATGTCTGAATGTCATTTTTTCAATGATCTAGAGAAAAGACTAAAGGGGAGGGATATAATGAGACTACATTGCCTTTCCTTGGAATATGATAGCCTTATTGCTTTCTATGATCAGGTAAAACAGACTCATGCAAATACATCATGACTGAACGACAACTTGCTCTGAATAGCTCAACCAGTACAGAGAGGTACATGAGTAATTCAAAGAGTGGGAGACAAAGTGGTCCCTCTTGGGAAGAGTATAGTAAAACCTGTCAAAGCAGAACACCTTTTGTAACTCTAAAATGTGTTCTAACGTGTGAGGTGTTCCACTTAAGAGGTTCATTCAACATTAAGTCACCTGTTTTGAGACTTAGAAAGGTGTTCAACTTCTAGAGGTGTTCCACTTGACAGGTTTCACTGTACTTGATAAGTCACAATGCATCTGAAATGGATCTTCCCAATATAACTATGAAGCAGGAAAGCAGGCAATCACCTTTAAGGATTACATGGTGAATACTGAATCCCTAATAAATCCCAGATAGTGGGTGATATCAAACACACTCATCATGATAAACTGTGACATCTCAGTCTTCCCAGCCACAGTGACATAGAAATATATGAGCTTTTAACATATGTACAAATTAGAGTACAAATACATGAATAATACAGTTCAATTATAAAAAAAACAAAAAAAAAGAAATATATGAGGTATATCAGATTATAGTTCATTCATTGATGGCAGGATTCTACTATGGCTAGCAATGTCTGTCCCATTTTTTGAGAAAAGGCACTCACATACAAAATACCACCACCTGCCATTTGTTACAGATGCTGACCGCTGAACACCAACTGCCGAAAACCAACCAATGAACTCAATCCACAAAAAAGTTGGATAATATAAATGTTAAGACTTGTATAAAATCTTTAGTCTTCATATACTACATTTTTGAAATATAATATGAGCCTAATATACATTTTTTGAAGATTGGCCCCTTTTATAGCTTATTTGCTTGGCCTTGTGAGAGAAAGTACCCTGTGTTCAGAGTCAAGTATACTTCCCTCTGATTTAAACCAATGATTATAAGGTTTTGCATCAGACCAATCACAAAACACCATAGTTGCACATATTGTACTTGTTAAGATACCTATAAATCTACAAAACTAGAGACAGTTGGGTCATTTTTGTACTCTTTTATATGGTCAAAAGCATACTCATACAGTATATAATTTTCATTTTAAGAACTCCAAATGGACAAGTCTATTATAAATGGGCAGTTCAGATTAACACACTCGTGTCAAGTCAAGAGCATACTCAGACAGACCAGTCCATTCTATTATAAATGTCTCAAATATTGCATCAATTCAGATTTACTTTGGCTTACCACTCTATTCCACAATCACATAACATATTCAACACCGT